TGGTATTCACTGATGTGGCCAAAGAAGGAGAACAATGTCAGCATTTAACAGAGATTTCTAGTGGATTTTCGATTGGAAGCCAGTTGTAGGATCAAGTGTGGTAGCGATGGATGCCTGCAACCTTTTGTTTGGGAGATTGTGGCAATTTAACCGTAGGACTCAACATGTTGGATTCATAAACATCTTTACCAAGGAGGGTAAACACATCGAACTTTTCCTTCTACAGAGCTAGAGATCACATGTGCCCTTGCAGTAGATAAGTGTTTGTGGGACCAGTTTTCGAGATGACAAAGGATGATAAGACTGAGACATTGATTACATACATGAGACGGTCACCAAAAAGAGCATTTGAAGACATCAAAATCGATACCTTACCACCATAGCCACAATCATTTGGGGAAGTTTAGGTTACCTTCACTTCAGATCAGATTGAGCCAACCTTAATACACTTTGAGAGTCAACAGTATTACATGACTCACAGACCCAGTTCAGTTAGTTGTGGATTGCCAGAAGAATGGATCGATATGGAAGCATGTTTCTGCCGCCAATTACTTTTCCCACCCTTCTCTGCTCCCAACTACCACTCCAGTCCATCTCCCTAGCCCCTACCTCCGTCCCCGCAATCTTTTTCTCTCAGCAGCCAACTCCAACCCACCTTACCCTTGATCATAGTGGGCAGCCATTACCCCAACCAGCCACTTTCCCAGCCAATCACCGGCCTTTCTCAAGCCACCTTCCTGCCACCATGCAATCATCAGTTTCCACCACCTCAACTGCAGCCCAATCACTTCCTTCCTCGATCTGGGGTGTCATTTTATGTTTTTGTTGTTAATTGTCCTATTGTTAAGAGTCTTTGTTTGGAACCCCTTTGAATTTCAGCAATAATATTTTCATTTCTATTATGGTTTGGGTTAACTCTGGTATCACAATTACTCGGCCCCCTGCTAGTAACTTCATGGCAAAGTGGAAACGACGACAAAGAGAGCAATGAGTGGGGGAGACCAAATCTGGTACTGTAAGTAGTCGGGGCAACTAATAAAATAAAATCAACTATCATTATGTGTTGATTGTAATCTTCACCACGAGTGATTAATAGAACAATTATCTCTCGTCCCTCTCCAATGAATTCAATTAGATATAAGAACCACTTTAATAATGATACCATAAAAGATGTTCTAAATTAATTTGATAGAGCTCCCCATGCTAATTAATATACTTACAAGTTGGTAATTCACAATCAATATCATGGTCACGATAGCATCATTATAAGGCTTGTCAATGAGAGACCGATCAACTGCAAAGACTGAGATAAGGACAGCCTCCATTTACTGCACTAGGGTGATCGTTGCTGAGTTTACCTTGGCTCAAGGTTAGCCAAATTAATTATTATAGCTCTTTGACTGTAATTAAATCTCCTACTAAGTTCTATGTTGGTGACAGCCCTCAGTATAGAAATCATGGCCACGAGGAAAGAGCAACTTGGGTACCTAAAATATCCTTTGTTTTGATGACCTCAACAATACTGATCATATATAATCGCAAAGAAAAGACAGCTGGCAAGTGGACAAAGGCCATGTGGTTGCATCCTCTCCCCTCTAAGGTGATCACATCTTTCCAACTAAATTTGCCTTGACTGGAGGATAATTCATTGAACGGGATAAGAATGTGGCATAAGTTAAGCAAACAACCTAAAATCTTTACACCTTGGGATGGTTGACTTATCCTTTTATCTGATCTTGTCTGATAGATTAGTTTAAAGATGCTACATCCATCTCATTCTTATAGTTTTCTATATCTGCATTCTCAATGGCAAGTAATAGTTAACTCATTCAATGTCTTCAGCTAGTGAATGAGTACATCTAAGAGAACTTGAGTGAGAGTGGATCGAGCTACAACTGGCGTTATGTTATTTACTTAAAACATCATTCTTTGGAACCTTACTATAAAAATATCCTCAATAACTTGTTAGGCTCCTGAGATATTTTCAACAAACATGATGTGTTCTTTAGTGGTCACTGGGTGTTGGTGTACTATATTATAAATATCCTTTTAAACTCAAGGAATGACATGATTATCACAAGCAATGGGAAAGCACCTTTAATATTATGAAAAGTAAAATGCACTTCGGTGCATCATTGATATCAAGAAGCAAGGTGGAAAAACTCAAATATGCAACGTGGTTTGAGTTTTGACCCTTTGGGATTTAGGATAAGGGATCTTGAATTTGATTGATTGCCTGACTTTGGCAATTTCACCGAAAAAAGCATTTATCGATTGTGATCTCCTTTAGTCTACTCGCCCTTCCATTATGCTAGGTTATAAGGTCTATTTTTCTTTCTGAGCTTAAGTAATGAAACTTATCAAGAGAAGGTAATGCCCTCAATATAGAGTTTCTTCTCCCGTCTACTAAGCTAGTGGACTTTTTAGGCAGCTGCACTCAAGTTGTTCTAAAGGGTTTGATCCAAGACACCGTGGATCATTCACCCAAGCCTCTCTTAGTCAATTGCCTAATTGTCACAAAATCTTAAATTCACATTTTCACAAAAATCTCTCAAGCTTTCTTTATGATTGCTCCTGCAGAGGCTCTCTATGTGTCTTTCCTAGTTTTTTATGTAAATTTAATTTCGCACAACTTTTAGAAAATTATTTTCTATTTTGTTTGTGGGTGACACAAGAACCTTACAAATATAACATTTGAAGAGGCGATGAAAGAGAGAGATAGTAGAGAAAGGTCCATTATGAGGCTAAAAAATGCTACAATATTAGTAGAGTACGTAATCAAAACTAAGAACCCTTGACTCTCCCAACGATTCTATATTTATAGGTTGAAATGTTGGGTCTAGAGCACTAATAGAAATGATGTGGCATAAGTTATACATATAAAAGAAAGGTATAAAATACATATGATGTGTAGCTTATTAATGGACTAGGACATGGGGCAATGACTAACAACAAAGCATGGGGAAGGCGTTAGTTCCTCTAGTGGTACCTACTGAGTAGCTTTTTTGCAAGCTTGGTTGTTTGTATGGCTGATCCAGCAAATTTGGTGGTGGCATTGAGTGAGCTCTTCATGAGTCCAGTAGATGTATTTCTTCTTAGTCAATAACTAATTTCACCATGATGATGGTGTGTAGGTGCCTTGAACCCTACTGGGTGAGTCATCTAGTACCTAGTTGACATGTTCGACTTGAGCTTCAAGTTTCCATGTGGATCAGATTAATAAATCTAACTCGGACTAGCGAGTAGACCCTAAGCAAGGCTTGATGAGTTCCCCAATTTCAGCTAGCAATTCTTGGGCCAGTCCTCCTTTAGAGTATAAAAATCCAAAACTATTGGGAAAAATTTCTGCGCTAGAAATGTCCTTCATGAAATGATCAACACTAGATTTACCCAAAGTTGAACGGAAAAAAATTAAATTGTTATAGTTAACTCAAAAAAAACATTTTACATATGGTTCAATAATTTCTTGTAGCACTTTAGACCTGATTTTTAAGTGTTGAGGTAAAATTGCACAATGTCACGGATTGAATAGTTCAACATTACATAGAATAGCTTCTTGAATGAAACTTCCACCAACAATCTTTTTGCCGCCTTCACGGTGCTCATTAACATTCTTATTAAAGTGATAGCATTACACTTAACATGGGGACTCCCCCATGGTAATAATCACGCTTACAATGAACAGATATTCATGATGTTATTTGCTGTGGACAATGCTTTTGCTATTTCCATCCCAGAACCTCATTTGAATGTGATGTTCCTAGTGCTTGCCACATATCCTCTCAGAAGGATGATTGCACATACCAATTAAACTCATATAAGAATAATTGAACACTGTATGTGTGCTCCAACCCCACCCAACCTTATCCAACGGGGCAGGAAGAAGATCACAACTTTTCAAATCTAAATACAGAATGTACTTTCTTCCAGTTCTTAACTCATTGTTTATGACAAAGGATATCCTCAGTTATATGACATTTATATCATAATACCTTCCCACCTCTTTTTTTCTAGTCTATCACATGATTCAGCTTCTTTAACAACTATTCAGCCAGCCTCTGTACACAATCCCTACATAAGTTACAAGTTGGATATGCTCAGTTTTTTGCAGTGATACATTGCTCAAGTTTGGTCAAATTTCTCTTCCTGATCATAACATGGATAGACGAGCTTAAAACATAACAGGTACATCAGGGCATTCAAGCTCTGTCAAACACTTCAACTAGCTACTTGACATGAAATATAACCGCTAATTATTAAAAAAGCTTTGTTAACACGACATAAACCTGTAAAGCCCAGCAGCCCTCATCCTATCACTACATAGTAAAACCAAGGTTCCAAAGCAAACTTCCAGGTTAGAAGACACTTATAGACCATCTTATATCAGCAGCCTACACCAAACAGAGTGCACAGTCACAGCCAAATACTCCAGTAGGTAAAAGCAGGTCTACAGCACGCTCGCAACTCCTAACCATTTGGCTCTGACAGTAAACTGAACACTAATTGCTCTAAAACTTGAATCATGGAAGATCACCACAGCAACAACAACAGCAGCAACAACAAAAACAGCAGCAGCAACAACAACAACCAACATTTATCCCACTAAGTGGGGTTAGCTACATGAATCCCTTTTCTCCATTGAGTTCTATTGAGTGTCATATTTTCATTTAATGCTAATAAATTAAGATCACTTTTTATACAACATGCCCAAGTCTTTTTAGATCTACCTTTACCTTTCTTAACATAATTCAAATCTAAAACATCTACTCTCCTAACCGGATTATCAGATGGTCGACGTTTAATGTGACCAAACCATTTAAGATGACTCTCTAATCTTGTCTGCCACTAGAGCTACACAAACCCAATCATAAAAGATCGCTAACAATGAAAAAATGACTTTTAATTATTTTATGTGGCATAATTGCAAGAAAAACAAATATGTGCTAATATAAATGAAAGCATCAGTTATGTTAAATTCAGAAGGAAACAATTTTGCGCACCAGCTCAAGGTGATGAGTGCGAGAGAGAGCATCAGACAACCTCCTTTGCAAATCATCTTCTTTTTTACGCTCATATTCAGAGTTCTCCATTTCATTTCTTGACTCACCAAGTTCCTTGTACAGATCTGTAAAAAAACAAATCATAGGAATTCCTATTGATTGCATGTGTACTGAGTACTGAGTATGACCATTATAATAGGCTTATGTAGAAAGAAACGACAAAATGGAAGTCATGAAAGCTCTTCTGAAATAGAATCACCAAAATCTCAATACTATCAAAAAAATAAGCAACAAGATAAATTATACTATTACAAAGAATTCACCCCACATTGGTAAAGAACAAATGCAAAATAATGCATGGAATAATTCTCTTAAAACAATGAACTAATGCACAGAATCATCTCGCAAAAGCAAAATACTAATACATAGAATCACCTCATATAGGTAATTCAATACGCATTTCAAGTTGATATGACAAAGTCAACGTCACCCAACTTTTCAAGTAGTAAATAAAGGTGGTCATTTGCTCAAAACATTGGAGAAATGCCAGCAAGTTGTTTCTTAGTAAACTACATGTAATGACAATGTCACATAGCGTTAGATGGCCATATATAACATGAGAATCTATCTATGTTTTCTCTACTTTACAGAGATAAGATTAACAAGAATGTGAATCAATTCATGATTATCACAAGACAATGCAGGTGTTGGAAATGATCAACCATGCGAGAAAAAAAGGGCTTCACAACTGAAGAAATTTCACTAGTTTTGGAAGAAAGATCCACAATATGCTTCAATTGAAGATTTTGCAAGTAACTTTTATATCAACTGCCATGAAATTGGAAATCCTCCAAGCATAACAAAATAGTCAGTACTACATTGTTGAATCATTGGGAGTCATAAAAATAGGTAAACTATAGACATCATGGCTTATGTAATAATAGCTTGCCCTAAATTGTTTTTTAAGTACTTGAATACGTGAATGGAAGCATCCCAATGAAATCATCGAGGATCATAAAATATTTATATTGGCAGAAACACACAACACAGGGATGTATATATGTGTGTTTGGTTAGATATTGGTGCCCCTGAGTTGGAATAAGGTTTATGTTCTTTCCCATAAGATTAGGTTGCCTAAAGTATATTTGTGTCTAGATAAAATTACATTGTTATGGCTACAAGCAACTTATATCCCAAAGAAGTGGCCAGTTCAGAGCTCCAAGGTCATCAAAATATTAAAGCATATACCTAAGTATAATTTGAAAGCAATAGAGTGCTGTAAATTATTATATGCCAATATTAAATGGTGATATATACTGAAATAATAGTATTTAAACTCCTTGCAAAAGAAAATTTACACTAGTTAGATGGAGAGACAACTTTGTTGTAACACCAACAAATTATTTGCACATGAGTCGTACAATTTTTTAATCTAAAGTAACATTGGGCATTCTAGTAGTTGATAATGACGTGGGGGCTAGGCGGGACCCTGGACCGGTTCAGTCCAAGTTGAGGAAGGGCCGGTCAGTTCTCTCTAGGCCTAGGATTTCCACCTAATTAAATTGGGGGCCGCTCCTAATAGTACTAGGTCTATCTATAAGTCTATTTAAGTGTTTCTTTGATGTTTATGGTTTACCATTTTATTGATTTGAGTTTGCAGAGTCATTGGCTCTTTTTATCACATTCTAGGGTTGTATCCTAGGATTCCAAATAGTGCTCATATTGTATCTTGATTTCCAATAGAGTTTATCCTTTCTATATCTTTACCCCATCCTTTCCAACATTGCTCCCGTATCCCCTTCATTATTTGCATGTTGTATTCGCCAAGAAAATCAAAAACTTGTTTTTGCGCCCAAATTGTTGACACCGTGTAGTGCCCAATTTTCACAGTTTTGCCAAAATCAGATGAAAATTTTGGCAAATGCAAAACATACACTAAATTTCACATCTCGGAATTAGACCGACTCAATTTTATAAAATTCTACATCTTGAAGTGATCAATTTAATATATAGTAGCATGCACGAATTACAAATGTATGGGGAGATGTATATTGTTGCAAGCATAAGCTTAATTAACCTTTAATTTGTTTCCACTAATTTATTTATGTTACAAATGTATGGGGAGATGTATATTGTTGCAAGCATAAGCTTAATTAACCTTTAATTAATCCTAATTAATTTTCTAATCGCACGTATTATTGTTTCCACTAATTTATTTATGTGATTCTCAATCGTGGGATGCAATCAAATGGCTGAGATTCATCGTGGGGTTAAATAATGTATAGGATGCTTCATGATTTCCCCATTCCTCCGATTTCTCCTTCCCACAAAACTCTTCCTCTCGTCTCCTGTAGCAGGCATAATTGCAAAGAGCTGGAACTCATAACTTAGGTTTTCGGGGCAAAACCAGACACATTCGAGGATTCCAATATTCCACAAAACAGATGCTCTGAGTTATTCTCCCAAGCTATGAGAAGCTTCTCTGGAAGGGCTTGGATTCTACTGTCATACATTTCTTCCCACAAAGCACGTAAGAAGATTTCCAATGTTGCAGTTCACGATTCTTGTCTGATCACTTGTCTGTGGGTGTAATGCTAAACTGAATGAAAACTATGTGCCTAACTTACACAATAAAGTTCTCCAAAATTGACAAATGAATTTCACATCTCTGTCGAAAGCAATGACATGTTAAACGGCTTGCAATAAGGACGATCATGTGTCAAGTATTAGCTCATCGAGCTTATCGCCCTTTTGGATCACCATGCCATTTATGATCATGCTTCATTCAAGGCATACAGAAAGATCGTTCAAGAACGAATACCCATTACATAACTTACACGATAAAGTTCTCCAAAAGTGGCTAAGGAATTTCACATCTCTGTCGGAAGTAATGACATGTTCAATGGTTCATAATAAGGACTATCCTATGTCAACTATCAACTCATCTAACTCACCACCCTTTTGGATCACCAATGCCAATTATATTCGAGCTTCTTTCAAGGTTTACAGAAAGATCGTTCATGTATGAATACTAATTACCTAGGACTTACTACCATCTAAGTCAACCAATGTTAGTCTTGTTGGGGTACTCCTCTCTATTGACTTCATTCTCTCCTAATTCATTATCTATTTTTTCAACTATTCCCTTCTCAGTAAAAAAATATTATCATTTCGTGTGGACAATCTGATGCAATGTGCCTAAAACTGTAGCACTTAAAGGCTTCCTGATAGGGACAAATTTGGGAGTGTAGGCAGGCTCCCCATTTCTCTAATTTGGAGTGGTTTCTCCTTGGGTGGGGTGGCTTAAGCACTCCACTTGGCATAATCTTACTATCTGATCTAACAATTGAACCTTGTTTGAAGGGTGGTGTGAACCAGATACTGTTCTGTCATCCTCCAATTTTAGGGATAGGGTATGGACATCGTTAATGTCCAATATGGTTCTAACTAAATGACATTGTGAATATATAATATTAATCCTCAAAGATATCTTGATATAGTGTGCATCTCTAATATCGCTAACTTACATTTTTATGAGTTGATAAAATTCACTTGTGTGCTCCACCACAAAAGAATCTTTGACATAGGTGAGTTTTATGAATGTATCCTATTAGTAATTTGGGGAAAGATATTTTCATTGCATCTCTCTTTTTTCTTAGAACAGGTTGCATCCTTATTCTTGCCATACTTCTCTTTTTTCTTAGAACAGGTCTTTTTTCTTAGAACAGGTGATATTCTTATTCTTGCCATACTGTTGTCGAATATGATTCAAGCTCTTCCACCAAAAAGAAATGTTCTTCATGTGCTTAATGGCTTATTGCACTATTTGGAGTCACTCAATAAACATCTTAATCCATGCGACCACCAAACTTTCATAAATTCACGTTTACCCCATGATCTTGACTTGTCCTCAAGGTATTGGTTCATAATCAATGTAAACTTTCTGATATAAGAGATTCTCTTTTATCCCTCGATCTGGCAAGTCACCATTGTGGTTATGAGTGACCTCACTGGATTATCCCATATCAAATGTGACAAAGATCTATTGCATTTAAAAGATTTATCTTTGTATGTCTTTCATAGTAAGCACTTTAACACCTCATTGAGATTTTCTTCTTAGGGTCTGTTTGGGGCAGCTGCAGCTTATCCAGCTTATGCTGATAAACAGTTTATCCTGATAATCTGCAGATGAGCAGCTGATCCGGATAAGCTGGTTGACTGTTTGGTTTGTGCGTTTGAAAAACAGCTGATTCTGGATAAATGACCATTCTGCCCCTGTTCTGGATAAGTTGTTTAGCTGTTTGGTTTGTGTGTTTTGTAAACAGCTTATTTACATACATACCAACCAATTCCTATGTATTATATTAACATATCGAACACAAATTTTACTTTTTACATTTATTCCACACAAGCCTTTCACATGCATTGGTAAGGTGGCAAATATGTAAAAATTGAAGTTTGATATAAACATATATTTATAAGTAAAAAAAAAATTAATGCTATTAGCTTTAGATAGATTTATATGCATACTGCACAATTCTGATGTAATTGCATATCTAATATTCAAACTTTGATTTTTACACTTATAACACATTATCTGTGCATTAGAAAGAGTGATATTTTTTATGTTGTATGAAAGATTTGAGTGTTATAAATGTAAAAATTAAAATTTATTTGGTATATATGTAAATACATTACGAATTAAAAATGTACACTTCTCTTCCCATTCAACATTCAATGTGAGAAAATGGCATCCATGAACTGCAACTTCACCTTCCAATTTAAAAAATATGATTCTCGGAGCTCAATATTAATCCAAACTAATCTCATTCCCAGTTCATCAAAACCTCAACTTGAATCAAAATCCGCACCAACTCCTACGACCATCTTCCACCATGCTCCGATCTGCTCCAAAACTTTTGCGTGGACCGAAGCTCGCTTGCGCTCCCTGATTGCGATATTCCTCTCTTCGCTCCTTCACACAAACCTATATTTCTCTGCGTCCTTTGCCGATGAAGAGGGAGAATGAGAGGCAAGGGCATAGCTTTCGACCGCGAAGTGAAGGGATGCCGAAGAAGGGGGAGCGGCTAGGGCAGAGCTTTTGAATTGCGATGAGGGAGCGGCT